CACTTATACACGTACCACTTTCTGTCTGTCTTCACCTCTGTCTTTTTTTTGAACAGTTGGTCACACACACATGCATACATGCAATACATGCATGTACACAAAACACACACACACACACACAAAAAGAGAAATGCACATACACATGTTGACACACATTGCCCCCACCCCCATCCCCTTCTCCTCCCCTCCTTAGTGAGCTAGGCTGGCGGGCGGTGACCTTCCCCTGCTTGGAGGGTTCCCTGGCTGTTTGATCAATTATCCCTCTCCCATTGTTTACCAGGAAGCAGGAGTAGAGAGGAGAGGAGAGAGAAGGCTCAAAATGGCCACTGTCAGGTGGAGGGATCCATTTCCCTGCCAGCGTGGGGGTGGGGGTTAGGGAGAGAGAGGGAGAGAGAGAGAGACCAGTGCTGTGAAGCATGCTTAGAGGGAAGGGAGGAGCGTTGTTCCGTGGCAGCTGGGATGATATGACATTATACTGAAGGTATAGCTCTGACAGTGGTTACCATTTGTGATGCTGAACGTCAACTGTTAAAAGTGGTTGTTAGATTCCTAAACTTTTGACAACCAAACATTAGTTGTCCATATTAAAATCCACACAGAGCATATTTTTCTTGCTCTGGGTGCATAAATCAATCCCGTATGAATTTCTGAAATGTATTGTCATGTCCATGTAATGCTGCATACACACATGCATATATGCATAATGCCACAATACTGCAGGTACATTTCCTATTTTTAGCATGGAGAAGTGAGGGGGGGTACATACTCTAAAGGTCAGGTGGCAGAGAGAAAAAAACGAGTGGGAACAAATGATGCACTAAGCGAATGACACTCTGAGGTCCTGCTTTAATATGTATGTATCGCAGGTTGATGGCTGATTTCATTAGCGCCTCTCATTGTTATGCATAGATTGTCCTCCTGCAGCAAAATGAATATTGTATTCACACGCGCGTGCACACACACACTCACCCTCATACACACATACAACAAACCACGTTTTCCAGGGAATACTGTATGTTTGGATCTTGCAGAGGGCTTGAAGAAAAGGTTGATGTTTCCACAGGCTGTTATCTGTGTCGGCTATAATTAAAACAATTTACAGCGCTGTCATTTTAACACAGGTTTTTGGCGCTGCTGTGAACAATTCCTGTCAGGTAGTTTGTGTGATTATTTAGGGGTCCTTGTTGATATTAGAGTAAATTATTTCCAAAGCTGCAAAGAAAAGCTATCTTTGTTTAAATGACTTGAGCGGAATAAGTCATGTCGTGTCTCAGGGTTCAGATTACGTCACTTCAATTTACCTAAATCTGTGTGTGTGTGAAAGAGAGTGAGAAGGAGGGGGGGGGCAGAAGAATATGCTGAGTGCATAGCCATTAGTGACTATATATGTTTATGCGACTATATTGCTCATCCTTGCACACAGAAAATACATATGGTGAGTGCATGAAAATGCCTGACTGCCTCTTTCTAATCCTCCAAGATGACTGTGTTTCAGCAGGAATTCCAGTCCTTAGTGGGACATGAGCAAATGTTCTGTGTGAGATATTAATAGCTATTGTGGGCGGAAAAGGAAAAAAAAGCTTCTGCATTTTTCCATATGTTTTGTAAGGAAACAGTCCAGATGGATTATCTCTTGGTCTGGAGCTTTCTCTTGCCTCAACCAGCTCAAATCCAAGTTGTGTTGGACTTGCCAGAGCCACACACACACACCAATGTGATCACACTCCTCCGGTCTGAAGTACAACAGGCTATTACTGATTAACATGTCTAAACTCAGCCAGTTCAAAAAGCCACTCTAATTCCTTTTCCATCTTGTTCTTTTATGAATCATGGATGACGTGACAGTCTTTCTTCCCTAACATACCTCACGTTCCTCACAGTCACAGAGATATGTTTGTCGCCTTTCTATTTGTTGCCTGAGAAACCATGTTGGCTTGTCTTCTCACATTTCACACTTGGTTTCATCCCCTTAACCCCTAATGCTCAGCATGGATGGGCTGCCTGACCTCTTGAGTCATGGATGTTAGACTCATCGGCATCACAAGGGCCAGAGTTGGGCTTTATTTTGCCCAGTGATTGTAGACATAGACGGGTGCAAACTTTCTTGGATCAAAGATGAAAAAAAAATCCACTGACACTCCTTGTCAACACATTCGTCATGTTTCTGTTGCAGATTTTAATTTCAAAGCTGTTTGTTCGCTGCTTTTTAAATGCCTTCTTTTGGACTTCTTTAACAGCATAATTTCACAGTCCTCATGGTCTATAGTATCCGAAGATTTATAAAGTAGAAGACCTAGACATTCACACTTGGCCTTGTGCCTTTAATGCAGAAAGACAGAGCAAAACACCCACTCACTCCTTCGTTCCTAAGTTGGCACACACACACACACACACACACAGAAACATTATGTGGTGTGACAGAACGTCACATACTTGGAGTTTCACAGCAGGTTGGCATTCTAGGACAGCAAAGAAGAGATAATGTCAGTGCACTGCTGGTTAACTCACTGTTTTATCCTGTTTCAGGGCCACAGAGCGTGAAGGGTGTCTGTTTATGACACACACACACAAACGCCACACATGCATACCATGCACACACACCTCTCTTACACAGACCACTTTGCCTCTCCCAGCCTGTTAGACGACAAAGGCTAAAAAAAAACACAAGTGACAAAAGATGTCCATAGACATGGCTGCCAGCGTAGACTAAAGCTGCGCTCTTGTGTGGATACATCCGAATTTTCTTTCTCATGACACATGCTTTCTGGAACCAGGAAGTATGCCACACTGACTGACAGGATGTAGGATGATGTTGTGTTAGTGTTTGAATTATGCTTTTAGAGGTCACAGTCCCCTAAAATAGCTTTTTGAGTATATCATTGTGCAACACATCTAC